GAACTTTATGGTCACTTTTCATTTAAATACCAAAATTAACAGATGATAAGGATTCTGAATTTTAATCAATATAAATTCCGTTTGTTCGGGAGTTACTGTGTAAAGAATTGATTTGGTTCAAGTTAGATCACAGATTGATATCAGTATGAGGAACACTGAAAGCCAGGGAGTACTGGACATCCGTGTCGTCCTAGTTTGGGACTCGTCAGCAGTACGAGCCCATCCAGGTTCGAACCTAGGACCATCAAGTCACAAGACAAGCTTGTAGAACATTCAGTCGTTGGGAATTGATTCAACTGACCGTGAATTCTAACTCCTGCCAATTTGTGCTTTTAGTCTGACCACCAGTTAATGCCATCGTTGAGTATTTGTCCCCACCCCTAGGACCTTACTGGTCACAATTTCTCATCGGGACTTTAGACAATTTCGTCTTGTGGTCAGTCACTAATGAATATGTCTTTTAATCGAAGCGTCTCGGATTCCAAACCCCGTAGGGTGTATACTTAAGACTAGGACAAAACAGCTGTCAAGTACTCTCCGTTTTTCAATATTACGTAGTGGATGTTTACACCTTTACATCACTCTCACAAAGATACAAATTTAAGAATATATTCTAACTAGATTTTTGTGTGCAAATAGTTATATTAACTAAAAAGTATACAAGTATTGGTTTGTAGGGATTTGGTTGATTGGTTACAGGATTTCATCATCTGCTGACATTGGTTAGAGAACCATTGGATCGGGTCCCATTGGCTTAATGGTCTACGAGCTCGCTGGCCTCGTAACCAGAAGGTGCTGGGTTCGAACCCCGTGGTGTGGGTGTGAAGTGATGAAGACTCCCAAACTAGGACGAAACACCTGTCCAGTACTCCGAGCTGGTTTTCCTATGGTTCTCTAAACAATGTCAGGTCATGATGGAATCCTGTAACCAATAAAAAATATACACAATATATTGATTGACATAAAGGAGGTAAGACAAATGAAAGATTTACTAAGTGATTTAAAATTTTCACTTTTACTAATCAATAATGAGTCATAAAAACCTTGATTTTCTTGTATAATTCACTTAATCCGCCTCCCCCCCCCCCCCCACAAAAAGCGTAAATTTTATTATCTTTAGAAATCAATATAAAATGTCTGAAATATATTTAAACTGTTGGTAAAGAATAAGAATTTTTTATGAAAATATAATGACTAACTAGGTTTATACATTTTGTACATATATTGGTTGATCGTTTAAGGCGTGCTTGCTAGACTATTGAAATATACAAGAATAAATTTGTCCAGTTTCTAGATCACAAAGACTTCCATCTCCTTTGATTGCTGCAGTTATACGCCTTATATCATTAGTTGATAATATATAACCTTTACTCCTTACCCTGTATTTAAATTGAAGGGAAGAATTTAATTTAAAGGAATATAATTACTGAAAAACACAAGTATGTACCGATCTCTTATAAAAATTTGCTTCTCGTTTATTGTTGAATTATTTCATTATAAGATGAAACCGTTTTATTCAGGAAGTTGTTTTTTTTCAACTGATTTTTAACTGGGGTTGTTTTTTGTTTTAACTAGTATTGATTTGCAAAGATTTCAACACAAGTATCATTTTTTAAATTCTACTTTTTTTTGTGAAGTGTTTCTATTCTAGTTATTGTCGATTAACAAAACAAAAAATAAAGGGAATGAATCATTTTAGTATGGAGTAAGTCTTACTTGCTTACTAACTTACTAAGTAACTAAAACTCTTTTGAATTTGAAGAATAACTGACTCAGATGTATTATTCTATAGATGAAAAAAACTAACGACTGGAGAGATGAATTTTTCTAGGGTAGCTAGTAGACAGACAGTTAAATGACAATGTGTATGTATAACCGATCATAGCTTTACTTGGTTGGAACTTCGAAGTCATACTAGCGCTGATGTTTATACCAAGTATCCTCTGTTTTCCAAGTTTTTTATTGACCAGTAAAGTAGACAGTTAATTAGGGCGCAGTCGAATGAACGACTAGATGGATTACGATAAAATGACTTTTAGTAAGCATCATATATATGAATATATATGTATATATATATATATATAATTGTTAGATGGGTGGAGGCGGTCGACAGGAGGCCACCCAACTAGGTTTCCTGCTTGATAACAGTCGTTAGAAAGGCATATCTGAAATCGAAAATGGAACTCATGTCTAATCTGAGATTCGGACATAGGTTACTCTGTGCTGTAGTCAGAGACGTTACCACTGAGCTACTTTAGCTAGCAACTGATCCGGTTCGAATCTCAGAAAGGACATGAGTTATTTGCTGAGGAGTGTCAAGTGGCACAAAATCTAGGCTCAAGACTTCCTGCCGATTGCCTCCAAACATCCAACAGTAATTCACAGTACTCCATGATGGCAAGCAAACTAGTATGGTGGCCACATTGGAAAACTTGACTGATAAAATTCAGTCACCAGGTACAAGACTCATGCTGCTTAAACAATATATGTCTACATGGCAGTAACGATTAAATGTTACTTTGCTTTATTTAGCTTAAAGTTTTGAGAAAACTACTGAACTTGATCAATATTACCAGCGAAAAAAAGAGGTTCTAATTGTTCTGAGTTTCATAGCAATCATTCTTAAACAGATAACAGTTTATCTTAATATCTGGTCAACGCACAAAAAAGTATCAGGTTGAATATTTCATACAAATATTGTATTATTATTCATAATTTTATTCCTGTATATTGAGGTTTCAGTAGCAGTGCTGTTTATATTTACTGGATGGAGTTGCTAGCCTCATGCACAACCTTCTCTCTTTACCAGTCTTATTACTGGCTTAGCGAGGTAAAGGAGTGCGTCGGCCAGGGATCGAAACACGAACCATGTGAACCATGGTTGGCGGGCATTCTACCGCTGTGCTATCGACGTACACATAGAATTCGAGACTCTTCAGCAGTACGCATCCACTGGGGTTCGATCCCAGGACCTTTTAGTTACAAGGCGAGCTAGTATACCATTAATCCACTGGGACCCTACAAATACTGAATTAGATATAAGGTTAACAAATCTAACAGAGCATTCCCAAAGCCACTGTAGCATAATTTCTGAAATTATTCAGTGGGAATTAATTATCTTTGAAAGAAATAGTTTCCTAGACAAGTTGATTATCCAAATTTTTACAGATTAAAGGGGGGGGGTTGAGTTAACTAAGATTCTTACACAGAATCGCATCACACTTGAATTGATAAACATATTAGTAATAAATACAATCAACATGATGCTGTAAGATAAGAAATGTTCATTATAAATTATATAAATCATATATACATATATATATATATACATAATATACATAATATAAAAATCGATGATGATGACGATTTGAACTTTGAATTAGTTGAATAACAAGAAAGCTGCTCATTACTCAGCAACCTTATCAAAGAAAATAACAACACTGTACTAAATGAGTGCAATGTTATCATAGTGTATTAATCCAGGTTTATTACTTCATATATACTCTAATTATGTATATATTTTTTTAAAATTTTCTTGTAAATCTTTGACATACTACATTTATACATCAATTTGTTACTGAATAACAGTGTCATAGTGTTTGAAATGAATGAATGAGTGAATGAGATCATCACTTTTTGTTTAAAGATTCAATAAAATGACAAGATACATTCTATACAACCTTCATAAATGTCACAGAAATTTGATGAGCTAAGCCAGTTTTTAGTTAATACAGTATACATGATAACATTGATAGTGAAGTTGACAAAGAATAGATTTGAGTGCATCGGTGGCACAGGGGTTAAGACGCTCGCCGGTCATGTACATGGTCCGGGGTTCGATCCCCGACCACAGACGCACTCCTTTACCTCGCTTAGCTAGAAGTAATGCTGATAAAGAGGAAAGGTTAGGTATGAGGCTAGCAATCCTATCCTGTAAAATTAAAATTTATACTGCTACAGAAACTTCAAGCCTCTAGCTTGAAGCCTTATGTTCCACTGGGAACGTGAAGGAATAAAAAAACAAAACAGTTATTCAGTTGAGTGTTTTTTGAAATATGAACTCTGCACCTACTTTTCATGACTCATCATTAGGATAGAGAAATCGAAAACAAGATTGCCTAGAGAAGAGGTTTCATCTCAGTCTCAGTTATTTTGATGTTCATGTTCAAAAACAACGTTTTTCTGAGATAGTAACTAGAGCTGTAAGTTCATACAAAAAGCATATTACATATTATTCAGTCAACTCAATAGGATATTGATGTTCTTTAATATATAATATTTCTATCAGAAATTAACAGAAAACAGTCAGAGAATAGCTAAGGTACTGATACTGAGGAATACTATGTTTAATAATGTTTACCATAAGACAGTTGTTAATAGTTGAACGACTCAGATTACATAATAAATAGCTTAATAAATTCCAGTCTTTTTCTTTAGTTTCAACGTTTGTGATAATCATTTTTCAAGTGTAAATAAAACTCATTTAACGCAAAAATTCTGATAGATACTGATAAAAATGTTCCAAACACTTCATAGGATTTTGGTTTTCGAACATTACATCACCATATACATATGTTGTTTTTAAAAAATCTTGACCACAAATTAAGTTCAGTTAGAGAACTATTGTAAACTAGGAAGTACTGAACGTCAGTTTCGTCCTTGCTTCAGACTCTTCAGTAGCTCGCCTCACTGATCCCACCAGGGGTTGAATCTCAGTTTGACTAGATAGTATAAGAGTTCGCCATGTAACCTGAAGATCCTGGATCATGAGTGCGTGTTACTTAAGAGTCCTAAATAATGACGAAACAACTGTCTGTTACTCCCTTGTTTAAAATGATTCTCTAAATGACATTAATTCCTGGTCAAAATTTAAATCATTCAAATCCCCTCAAAATATGTTTTCTTACTACTTATTTTTCAATAATTTTGAAAGGAATGAAGTTGAAAAGAAACTCGAAAAACAGTTAAATGCACTAATGTTTACAAGGTCACTAACTTACTTTGTACAATAACTGATAATTCTTCATATTTCTTATCGATTTTTCTATTTTTTATTATATTATTATCCCCATGACATAAATTTTCTCCTTGTAAAGCTTTTTTATCATCATAATCATCATCACCATCATTTTCATCATCATTATCATTATTACCTAATTCGCTAGAGCATGCAATAAGTTTTGTTGGTAATTTAATAAATTTCGGTGTTACAACAGTTACTGATGTTGGCGTAGATTTTTTCGATTCATAAACAATAACATTTCCAATTTCTTCGCCTTCATCGCCTACATGATCATTTTCAATATCAGATGCTGATTGACTATCTGTATCATCATGACTTAAATCAATTTTATACTTATGATTATTATTACGATAATGAGATGATGTTGATGTTTTCGGTTTTTTACGTGATAATGTCTGACAATCATCATTATCTGTTTGTACATCTGCATATAATGTACGATCAATAAATCCATCAGAATCACTTTGTGCAGTTGTATAGGCTTCTTCACTACCTGTTCCAGCTAATCGACTACATACAGTTACATAGGAGTCGACTTCACTGATAACACTCTCTTGACTTATTGTTGATAACATGGATACTAAAGAACCTGAATGTGATTTCTCTAAGCTTTTATTATTCTTATTACTAATGATTGGCGTATCTGTAGTCGAAACACTCGTGGAAACAGTAGAAGTACTAGTCGTAGTAATAGTGTGTAATATATCAGCGGAAAGTGGACGTTGTTTTTTACAATTCTCACTATTTACAGTTGAATTACCTGCTTTTTTACGTCGTAATATAATAACCTCAGGTGTTTGCAATCCAGAATCACTTATAGTGATATCTTTCTCATGAAATACAAATGATTCACTGTAGTTATTATCACTGACAGTATCACTGACTTTGTGCTTTAATGTATTGTCAAGATCGGTGTATTCACCAGTTTCTGTAATATTATTATTATTAGCATTATTAGATGATGATAATTTAAATTCTTCATTTATCGATTGATTTGTCAATAATTGATTATTTCGACTATAGTCAGGTATTAACTTGTATGCCGCCTTAGAATTATTCTCTTTTAATAATACTTGTTGTTGTTCTGTAGTAGTAGTAGTTGTTGTTGTTGTATAATGCGTACTATGATTCACTGGTGAATCATGTTCTGATGATGACCAGTCATCATCATTTTCTTCTGAAGCTTCATCGATTGTTGTCAATGAATGTCCATTATCATAGAGTTGAAAATCTTCACTATTTAATGATACATTATTAGCATTAGTATTACTACGAATATTATCCTCAATTTCCTCACTGTTATTATTGTTACTACTTCGTGAATAATTAGCACTAATTGGGAATGTTATTGTATCATCATTTGATATAATGATATTGCGTAATTTCACTTCATCTGAAACATAATTACTAAATGTTGGTGAAATAGCTGGTGACAGACTACTACTTTCTGATTCAGTATTACTATTCTCTTGATGTTCAGGTTTATAATCATCTAGATCAGTTTCAATAATTGATTGATGATTATGTGAATTAAAGTTATATCGAATTATTTCATCATCATCCTCATCTTCGCCATCCTCGTCACCTCCTCGTTCTTTACTGTGCATATTTACATCTGTAAAGGATTTATCATAGAATGGATCATGTAGACTAAAATCTGATGGCGATCGCCAAGTTTTCTGTAGATATTTTTCCTCAGCATTGTTATTATTATTATCGCCGTCATTAGTAGTTGTACTGGCATCAGCAACTTGATGTACAAAATCACAATCTAATAATTTCTCTTCATTATCAAAGTCAACATTTTCTCTTGCAGATCGTATATGTATATCCATAAATTCATCTTTATCAGTCAGTAATAACATTGGTTCTTCATCCATACATTTATAATTATCCATGACATCTTTGCGATTCAATGAAGTTGAGGATGGAATTGGTGGAGGTGTTGGTCTTGATGACTTGATTGCTACATTCAGTGTGGTTGTTGTTGTTGCTGGTGGTGTCGTCTTCATTGCCGAGTTTGGTCTCGGTGATCGAACTAATTCAGGTGATGTTGGAGTTGTTTGATTTAAACGTTCTGTTAAGACATCAATATCCCGACGTACAGACTGTAATAAATTCTCCATAGAATCATATCTTGCCTCAGTTGCTTGAATCCATTCTTCAGCGATAGCTAAAGGTCTTCCTTGATACTTTGGGACTGTATTATTATTATTACCATTATCAGTATTCATTTCAGGATTACTATTTTTAGTACTCATTTTATTTTGTGCTGAGTGTGAAGAACTTTGTAGAATATTCCGGTTTATTTCATCATTCATTTTATTCTGATTTAATTAAATGCAAACAAGGTGTATGCGGGAAAATGTTATACATTTTTGATAGACTTTCATTCATTAAGAAGCTTACAGACTACATTGATTTAATTCCAGTAATCAATAAATAAGGATATAAACATTTCCTCTTTTTGTTAGCAATAAGACTTAAAAAATTCTCATAAATTCAACACTTAAAAAAATTTTTTTACCGATGGAAAAAAAAGAGATGTTGACAGTGATAAAGATAGTATGTTAACGATTAATCCATAAACTTCACGTCAATTAGAGCAATGTTGATAACTTTATTCAACTCTCTATGTATGTGTGTACGTGTGTATGTGTGTATGTATTCTAGTTCATATAACATTTCTGTGCATATACTTATATGCATAAAGCATATGACGATTTCATTGTTTAGATGATGAATACTAAAAACGCTTCCAACCAACCAATCAATCAGCGAGCACAACTTGATTTTGATTGGTCAGTTTTTCGTAGAGAGAAAAAATGGTGTAAGGAAAGAAGCACCTTTTTTAAATCGTTATTATTATGGAAAACAAAATTAAAGGGAGATTTTTTTTAAATATTAGGCAAAATAGTGATCACATATAGTACTAAAACACCTTGTTTATATGTGTATGGTTGATTACTTTTGTAATATTCACCGATAGCAGAAAATAAGATTAATATGGCGATTATTTGTGATCAGACACTTATACCAGATATATAATACTGGAAGACAATAAATCACCTTTAAGTAATTGATTTTACCGTTTTCCTTGTGTGTCTTTATGCAATTTACAGTTTATACGTGTTTATTGAGATAAAGTTGTTCAAATCTGAAATATAAAGAAAAGTAACATTAGAATACATTTCACTAAATAAAAAAAGTTATTTCTTATCATAGAAAGTCACGAAATTTGATAGCGTATATTGTCTTTCATTATTTACACGTTCTCCCAATAGTATAAGTTTTGATTGGACACTAGTTAGTAACTAGTGTAAGGTGTTTCTAGTCTTTTGTTTAGTATACACTGAATTCTATCAGTCCGGATCGCAATGCAACCGCCATTATTGGTGGCTCTTCATCACGGAACACATTGATTTGATGGCATTAGATGGCTAAGGCAATCGGCCACAGTGCTAGTTGACACTCACAAGTCTGCAGCCTTGAAGAAACTCATGTCCCTTCTGAGATTCGAACCCGCGTTACCCAGTGCTGCCTGCGGTCAGAGACGTTACCAGGTCCAAGGCTTCCTGTGGCCGACTGTCTCCAATCATCTAATATCATCAGAAGTGTGAGCTTTGCTGAACATGAGAACTAAAAGTTAGGCAATAGTCTGTTGATTCGACAGTATATTTCCATCACTAGCTCACATTAACAAGAGAGACACCGAGTGTTAAGGTGCTTTAGATGTCACGCTACATGTGAAGTGAATGGGTACAGTGTCCACTTGACAAATTTGATAAAACGTGAAAAAACAGATTAAGTGACATACATGGAAAATGTACAGAGTGGTGGTGGGGTATAAACAATGAAATCTAGCATGTAAGAAAAAGTTTGAGACTATGGTGAGATAAGAGAAAAGTACATAGACAGGACAATATACACATTTTCACAGATTCGTTCCTCTCCAGTACAAAAAAATTTGTAAAGACCCTCAGCCACAAGGTTAAACCTATATGCTCAGAAGAAGTAATACAAGATGAACTAAGTATTTTTTTATGATACTTCAATTGAAAATAGCTATCCGGACAAATTTATCAACAAACATATGACAAAGAAAGCGGAAAAGGACTACTCACTATCCGTAAACAAGAAGGCTTTATACATACGACCGTGATTCAAGGGCAATATACCAAGCGAAATAATTAAGAAGAAATTAAGAAAATCAGTTCAAAAGAACTTTTAATGCTGGCAAACTACACGTCTTATTCCCTACATGACCAGTGGTGCTACCTCGACTGAAAGATGAAGTACCTAGACTAACCACTTCAACTTCAACTGTGCTTGTGGAGCGAGTTATATTGGCCGTTGTTCTAGGAACTTGATTTTTCATGCTCACTCGGGAACATCTACCAGTATGGCTAAGTAAAGGTTTGATAAAACTATCAACAGTTGGATATTAGACCACCTGGTCCAAACCGGTCACAAAGCCAGCGTGGAAGAATCCTTATCTATAATCTACCGGGTATCAAACAGATTGCCAGAAACATCGAGGTACCACATGTACCAAACAGCAGAGGCCATTGCAATTCGCCTCAAACAACCAGTGCTCTGTGTTGAAAAGAAGCAAGTCCAGCCACTACTACTGCCCTGGCCTTCAGTAGAGACTATAAATTCATGAATTTGCATTATTTGCTTTCCTAATATTTCTGATATTCAGTTTATTGTTATGTTGGTGCTACTGAGCTGTGTTCTACTTATATTATTGATTTGATGTTATTTAAACATTAATAACACGAATTCATTCACTATTACATATATATATATATATTTCTGTAGAACCTAATGATGAAGTTATCGAAAAGAGTATTCTTTGTTCAGTAGCCATTCTTTTGAAAACATTTTCTGCCTAAACAGTTGAAACTTGAATCAGTACACAGAGACACACAAGTTTCGATATCTAAATCCGTCTATACCACTCAGTTTTCTTCAATGTAGACAGCTTTAAAGAAGTACTCTGATGCAACTGCGTGACCCGAATTAATCATACACTAAAGGACTAAATTAGGGATTGACTTGCATTGTCCTCTTGAAAACCATGCTACGAAATTTTCTGAGATGGGTTTGAAAAGTTTTGGTGTTTTTGTGTGGTTTATATATCAGCAGAATAGCAGGAGAGGGTGAAACCGATTTATAATTTTCAGAGGTTCCCTGAAATAACAGAACATCTATGATTCATTGACTTTATTTCTTAGCATTATGATCCATTTGGATAAGATCCCGATGCATTCGTAAGAGAAACCATTTGGAAATAAAAAGTTGGGATGGGGTTGTTAGTCTCATGCCTAACCGTCCCTCTTTACCAGTCATATTACTGGCTTAGGAAGTTAAAGTAGTGTGGTGGTCGGGGATCGAACCCTGGACCATGTGAGGCGTGTTTGGAGGGCATTCCACCACTGTGCCATGGACACACGACCTTTCTCGTCAATACTAAATAATTGAATGGTGAACTAAGTAGGAAAGAGAAGAAATAAGACATCTTTGTGAAACAATATAGAAAGCATAAAATGAAGACAGAAGAAGCAGAATATGAAAAACATTGCCTAATGGAGATTTCAGTGTTGTCAATTTTCTGTATTTTTGCATTATTGTACATCATTCTGACACATAAACAATCCTGTTACCAAATATTTCTGTGTTCTGTAGCTACAATACCACTAAAAGGAAAATGATAAAGGTAAATATAGAGTCAGTTTTATTTTTCGCTTTGCAAGCTATCCGAGGTTCCACATAGACTAATTATGTCAATGTTTCAAAAATGTATTTACTCACAAGTGATTAGTTTAATCTCTGTAGGATAAGACGTTTATTATTGCTTAAAAACCATACGATAAACAGACTCTTCGGTTAAATTATAACAGTAGTAGTAGTATTTGTGAATTATATCAGAACAATATTCTGTTTTACAGGTTTGATTGCAGCCTGAAAGCAAGGTGTACTGAACAGCAGTTTCGTCCCAGTTTGGGACTCGTTACCGGGGATTTGACTGACTATTGGTTCGATCACCAGCTGCAAGCCAACACTTAATTATTTATCTGATGCTCACTAGCCACTTGCTCTACACAGAAAGTTGCTTGAAGCTGTGGTGAGAAGTTGTGACTCGCAGGATTTATCAAGCTAGATAACGGGACAATCACGCGCTTGTGACATTGGCTGGAGGTTGTGCTGTATATAACGCTGATTAGCAGAAGCTGAAATTCATAAGCTATTGCATTAGGGCCCTTGCAACAAGGAGATAATTGCTTCATATGCTGGTGGGTGCGCACTAATGAAGGATCGCAAAGTAGAAAGAAACATCTGTCAAGTACTTCCTGGTTTGCCAGGGGTTCTCTAACTGATGTCAACTCTTTATTAAACCTGTAACCAATCAGATCTCTGCAAAACAATACTTGGAAACTTTATTTTAGTTTCGTTAGTTAGGTAGTAATGATTATTGAATGCAACGTAATAAGTAGAGTAGGAGTGTCGCTTATTCCGCAAAATTGAAATTCTGTAAATTCTAGCTTAGTATTACTTTGATAAAGCTATTTTTGTACTAAACAGCAAAACGTCAGTTAAAACACTGTTATTTTGTTTGACATACATTAAGCCATACAAAACATTTTTGGCTTCGCGCTCCTGAAGAGTCCCAGAATGGGATGAAACAGCTGTCCATTGGTTCCTGTTTTTCAATGATCTCTCTAGATGGTGTTGACTTTTGACAAAAATCTAACAACTGAGATTAGTCTAAAGTTCCTACAAATCTGATAATCTCAATTATATCCTTAGTTAATTTAGGGTTTATGGGTTTTTTTAAAATTATGTGCATACACAAATATACATACTTATGTTAACTTTTTCAATCTATTTGCACCTTTATTCTTGCTATCATTATCATACATACTATTGTGGTTATTAATTTCTGTGCCAAATATTGTTTATATCTACACTATAAAAATATCTATCACATTACACAAATATTAAAGTTCAAGTTTTATATACATATTATTTAAATATATTGTTTTCATTAAAAAAACACTCTAAATGATATGAATATTTGATGGTTTCTATTTTTAGCATTATCATCACCATCATCATCAGGTGAACTAAACTCATTCGTATGCTTCAAGGTGATTTGTGCTGTGCATTTTCCAAATCATCAAATTTTAAGTACTCCAGCGACCAGTACTCCCAGGTTTTCCAGTGGTTCTCTAACTGATGTCAGCTCATTATTAAATCCTCCATGCAATCTAAAGTAATAGCCCAAAACTATTGATCTTGAATTTATTTAACTAAA